AATGTTTTGTCTTCAGATCCTTCACTTCACTTCGCTCGCGCTCTCTCTCTCTCATTTTGTTTTCCTTTATATATCCGTTCCTAATAATCATATGGTTTTTTGATTGGCAAAAAATAAAAACTGTTCGATACCGGCCTTTTTTTGGGTATTATCTTTTTTGTTTTTGGTTTAGTTTCTTGTTTTTATTATTTTACTCTCGCCACAAATGAATTTATAATATGTTCCTGGGAATTTTTCACAAAATTAAGCTCCTATCCCGAATGTGTATACAAAAAGGAGAGTAGGTAACGTGTATTATGAAAAAAGAAACTTGTTCGTCTGCATTCCAAGAGGGACACACAGGGACACAAAAAATTCTCAACGGGATGGCAAAGTCGTAATAAGGTAAACGAATCGAACAATTGATTGTTTAATACATACTTTGTTAGTTGGAAATTATTGCATTTTCAGGTATTTAAAATTTCGGATTGTCATAGGATTTAAATTGCAATATATCGGGGACATTATAATTTTAGTTTTACTATATTATTATGTAATATATTACAATTACATCGTCTATCGTCGCCTTCTGCATTACAAGAGAAATTAATTATTACTGGTCAGGAAGTAAATATGTCCGTTCTACGTCATACTCCTTTTTTTAGGTAATTGCTGTGTTTTTTGGGACCACTCTGTACAAACTTAAGACTAGGTTTAATATTGCTTTTTGCCGGACTGCTCGTTTCTGGTCAATTGTAAATGGTTTATATCAGTTTTATGGTCGCTTTTTAGCTCCTGAGCGATGTTACGACTGCTAACATACTGGTTAACTTCGATCATTTCTGCGATTCACCTGTGTGAAGGGCATTTTTAACATCCAAAATTCCTGAACGGAAACTACGAAACAAATTGCACATGTTACAGTATCGGAACCATAAACACCATGCACAATTGTATCCGCTTGGCTTGCATTTTCGCCTTTCGGCACGATATTTCTCGAAGGGAATAACCAATTTCATCAAACATTTGCGCATATTTGCTAATCTTATTATACCTTCTATACTTTAATGAAGTCCAAAATTGAGAAAATTCGATCCTCTACTTGTGGTACCTTCTCCACAAAGTGGTCAAACTTTGATGACATTTTATTTTAAAAGACCAAGCGAACGAAGTATTCAATTTTATCCAAAACTTGCACAACCTGATATTTTTACCAAACGTATAACTTCGTCACCGCTGAAGGTAGATTTCGATTCGGCCACGTCCGTCTGTTGAAATGTATATAGAGTTCTCAATATTTAAAATTGATTAACATTGAATTTACATATCGATCCACATTTTGTTATAATAAGTCTTCATCCTTCTATAACGATACCACAAATATTCTTTGGGAAAACCTCCATTTCTTCTCTACCAAGTTTTCCTAAGAAGAAATCTGCAGTATTAGCTCTTATATGAGAAGATATCCAGCAATTCTTTAAGAAGACCTGTAGAAATCGGTAAGTGTAATATAAAGCGAATGATTTTTTATTTTGAAGGCTTATATCCCCTCCATACCACAAATTATATTTCGATATTGACCCTAGTTTCGGAATTCTCAATATTTAAAATGGTTTTTAAAATTGTAATTATAACTTTTGGTGACTCATTGGGTATAGCCTCCATATATCGATACATCGAATATTTAGTTTTTTTTCAAGCCAATATTCAAGGTTCTAGGCCACTCTTCCAACCTGAATATCTGTTCTTCATTTTTTCCTCGTACCAATTCACCACGGTATATGAAAGTCTCCATAGATTTTAAGTATTTGAACGTCTACTGATTGATGATGGTTGGAATAAATCTCACAAAAATAACGACTTTTTTAACAAATTTTGACCGGGTCGGACTTGACATATGTTTGGAAACAAACATCGATATTGACAGACTTCGACTTCTGCTCCAAATTCTTACTGAGATTAATTTATTTCTTCATTTCAAATATTGTACAAATTTTATTTTTTTATTTACAGGTAAGTTCGGAATTTGTGTATTTGTCTTACTTTCAAAATATATTCGGTAAACCATTGTTGTGATAAAGATAGTCCTTCGCTATTCCCATTCGAGGAAGGAACAAATTTGATGAACCACATTTGCCGATTTCAATAGTTATATCACTTTTTTATATAAGGATTTAATATGGAAGGACATGGATTTGTCATACAAAAAGGAACTCTATTTTGCGGAGCTAAATTGATATTGTTTTCATCATAGACGAATATATATACAGATATAAATATATATGTTTTTCAATCGATTCAAAACAATCCTTAGAATGGACACATCTGTTATTTGAAGTTCTGAATACACCGGCATATGTTTTTACTTTAAAAATAATGTTGAGTTCAATTTCAATTGCGTAAATGTATTATTAATTAAAAAAATTTTGGTATTTCCCAAAGTACAAAGCAATTAAACATTAACCAAAATTATGAAATAATAAACATTGCAAAATAATAGAAATGCAATTATTTATTGAATATTTACCACTAAACATGTTTTGATGATCGGCTATGCAGACACAAAGAAGTTCTGCAAAAACAGACCTTGAATTAGATCAAATATACATTTTTTTATTTTGGAATGGGTAAAAAATTGACTGCAGAATCTTCAGAACTCGAACAACATATAAAAACCACTGAAATTTCTCAAATCAGCATTCACAACATTCCCCCGGTATAGTCTACAATGTATTCTCCGATTTTGATTGGTTTGGGCCTTATGGCAACTGTTATTGGCGCTTGGGCCGACTTGGACAACACCCGTATTGTCGATGGTGATGTCATCCACATTAGCCAGGCTCCTTATGCTGTACAATTGCGTATTGGTACTCAGGTCTTTTGCGGTGGTACCTTGGTCCATCCCCAAATCGTTGTCACTGCTGCCCATTGTTTCGACGACCTTACCCCAGAGCTACTGAGTCATTTGAAAATTGTCGGTGGTGCCAATACCCGAACCGATGAAGGCGTTCAACGTAGAGTTGTGTCCATGATCAAATCCGGTACTTATAACAAGAAAACTCTAAACACTGATGTTGCCATCCTCAAGTTGGAAAGTCCTATGGAAGGTAAATTCATTAAGACCGTACCTCTGTGTTCTGCTGCTCCCGAGGATGGTGATTTGGTACAAATTGTCGGTTGGGGTCATACCTCACACAAGGGTGTCGGTTCCCACGAATTGCTTACCATTCGTATTCCAACCATTGGCCGCGAACAGTGTCAGAGGTATTATGGCATTCCCATTACCAATTATATGTTCTGTGCTGCTGGCGGTACCAAGGATTCTTGTCAAGGTGATTCTGGTGGTCCAGCTATTTTGTATGGTGAGCTATGCGGTATTGTGTCATTTGGTGCTGGTTGTGCTTCGGGGGCTCCGGGCGTATATGCTGATGTTTACAATTTGAATAAATTTATTACTGATGCCATGAATAGTTTGTTGAAGAAATAAGAAGGAGGAGTAGAGCGGAATTCGTTCGATTCCTTTTTTGAATAAATAATGTGAAAAAAGAAAAATGTTAGACATATGTTTTATTGGAAATTTGTGCAAAGGATAACAAATTGTTATCGGGTCCAGCACTTCTGCTTTCAATTCGCAAGAGCTTGAAGTTTAAAAATAATGTCATGTATCTGTAGACAAAGAGGAGATCCAATTTATAGAATATCTGTAGAATATTTCAGAATATAGATGACCTGCGAAAGATGGTCTGTCCTTAAAAGACCTCTAAGACGTCCTATGGGAGGTTTTGGAAAACTAAAAGACTTGTGTGAGGTCTCCTTTTTATACAAGACCAGAAGAGATACGGTTTATAGAATATCTTGGAAATTTCTGTCTATAGATGGCCTGCGAAAGGTTTCCTGAACTCAAGGTCTTCCAAAACTTAAAGACCAGTGTGGGGACTTCTTTTTATAAAAGTCCAGCGAAATGTGTTTTGTTATTAGATGATATTTGAAGTGTGTACTGTTCTCAAATAATCCGTGAAAGGACTACTGTCCTCAGAAAACTTGCTGAATAGAAAACCTGCAATATTGTATTGCATGTTAGTTTCAAGTGAAGCTGTGGAAGGACCTAGGCCTATATTAATCTTGTAGAAATGGGTTTATAGAAGTGCATAGAAAATTTGGCTCTTTTCTGCAAAAAAATTATATTCAACCAGACATAATCGTAATTTTCAGTAGAAAAATGATATTCAGCTAGGGAAATTATATTCAGCCAGGCTGAATAGTCATTCTCGGTAGGAAAAGGATATTCAGCCAGGCTGAATAATCGTTTTCTATAGAAACATGAAATTCAGCCAGGCTGAATAGTCATGTTCTTTAAGAATATGATATTTATCCAGGCTGAATATAGGGAAACGAAATTCAGACAGGCTAAATAGTCATTTTCTATATGGAAATGATATGCAGCCAGGCTGAATAGTCATTTTCTATATGGAAATTATTTTCAGCCAGGCTGAATACTAATTTTCTATGGGAAATTGATATTCAACCACGCTGAATACTAATTTTCTATGGGAAATTGATATTCAACAACGCTGAATACTCATTTTCTATAGGAAACTTATATTCAGCCAGGCTGAATAGTCATTTTCTATAGGGAAATGATATTCAGTCATGAATAATTTTTCTACTGAAAATGATTTTTTTTGTATATTTCCATTTCCTATACAAATATCCTATGTCGCCCGGTAATAAAGAACTTTCAAGGGTCTATAGGACTTCTATAATCCCATTTCCACAGGATTAACAGGTTACCTATAGTCAGAAACTTTCTATTGATATTCTATAAATATTATAACCTTTGTGTCTATATGTAGGCCTTTTTAATATTTCAACCTCTTACGACTTAAAAGCTGCAGTGCTGAACCCGATAAAAAGTTATCCTTTGTACAAATTTTCAATAAAACACAAGACTAACATTTTACTTTATTTACATTATTTATTCAAAAAAGGAATCGAACGAATTTCGCTCTCCCTCCTCCTTCTCATTTCTTCAACAAACTATCCATGGCATCAGAAATGAATTTATTCAAATTGTAAACATCAGCATAGACACCCGGAGCACCCGAAGCACAACCAGCACCAAATGACACAATACCGCATAGCTCACCATACAAAATAGCTGGACCACCGGAATCACCTTGGCAAGAATCCTTGGTACCACCAGCAGCACAGAACATATAATTGGTAATTGGAATACCGTAGTACCTCTGACATTGTTCACGGCCAATGGTTGGAATACGAATGGTAAGCAATTCATGTGATCCGACACCCTTGTGTGAGGTATGACCCCAACCGACAATTTGTACCAAATCACCATCCTCGGGAGCAGCAGAACACAGAGGTACGGTCTTAATAAATTTACCTTCCATAGGACTTTCCAACTTGAGGATGGCAACATCAGTATTTAGGGTCTTCTTGTTATAAGTACCGGATTTGATCATGGACACAACTCTACGTTGAACGCCTTCATCGGTACGGGTATTGGCACCACCGACAATTTTCAAATGACTCAGTAGTTCGGGGGTAAGGTCGTCGAAACAATGGGCAGCTGTGACAACAATTTGAGGATGAACCAAGGTACCACCGCAAAAGACCTGAGTACCAATACGCAATTGTACCGCATAGGGAGCCTGGCTAATGTGGATAACATCACCATCGACAATACGGGTGTTGTCCAAGTCGGCCCAAGCGCCAATAACAGTTGCCATAAGGCCCAACCCAATCAAAAACGGAGAATACATTGTAGACTATGCTCGAGGAATGTTGTGAATGCTGATTTTTAAAATTGCAGTGGTTTTTATATTCAATTTGAATATGGATTTCTAAAGCCGAATATTTTTGATGTATGATCTAATTCAAGGTCTGTTTTGCAGAAGTTCTTTGTGTATGCATATCCGAACATCAAAACATGTTTTGTAGTAAATATTCAGCAAATAATTGCATTCTATTATTTTGCAATGCTTATTATTTCATAATGTTAGTTAATGTTATTGTTATTATTGTTTTTTAATTAAAAATGGATCTACGCAATTCATATTGCCTTTTTTTTTTTTTTTTTTTGTATTGTTGTGAATCTTTTAAAAAATGTATATATCTCTATTCCAACTGTGATCTATATTGATAAAGTTCCATGCAAATGTATGGCAAATTCATAGTAAAAAATGCTATTTAGCCTGGCTGAATAGTCTTTTTTTCTATCAAAAAATTATATTCAGCCTGTCTGAATAGTAATTTTCAATAGGAAAATGATATTCAGGCTGGTTGAATAGTCATTTTCTATAAGAAAATTTATATGTAGCCTGGCTGAAAAGTAATTTTCGGCAAGAAAAATGATATTCAGCCTGGCTGAATAGTGATTTTCTGTAGGAAAATGATATTCAGCCAGATTGAATAGTAATTTGCTATAGGAAAATCATATTCAGCCAGGCTAAATAGTAGTATTTCATGGAAAAATAATATTCAGCCCGGCTGAATATTAATATTTGATTCTGCCTGTCTGAATAGAATGACTTTCAGACTGGCTGAACAGTATTGTCCTACAGGAAAATGATATTCAGCCTGGCTGAATAGCAATTTTCTAAAAGAAAATTATATTCAGTGATTTTTTATAGAAAAATTATATTCTGTCAGGCTGAATAGTCAAATGTTATAAGAAAATTATATTCCGCCAGGCTGAGTAGTCATTCATTTATAAAAAGTGATTTTCAGCCGGATTGAATAGTAGTTTGCTATCGGAAAATCATATTCAGCCAGGCTGAATAATAATTTTTAATGCAGAAATTATATTTATACAAATGAAATGTAGTCTGGCTGACTAAACTTTTTCTACAGAAAAATTATATTCAGTCTGGCTGATTAGAAAATTTCTATAGGAAAATGGGCGAAAATAAATTTTCTTGAAGAAAATGATATTCTCCCTGGCTGAATAAAAATTTTCTTTACGAAAATTATATTCTGTCGGGCTGATTAGTAATTTTCTATTGGAATATTATATTTAGACCCACTGAATAGAAATTTTGGGTATGAAAATCATATTCAGCCCGGCTGAATCAAAATTTTATAAATTAAAATGATTTTCAGCTTGGCGCAGTAGAAATTTCAGAAAACAAATTATTTATAGGAAACTGATATTCCGCCTGGCTAAATATATATTTTCTAATGCAAATAATATTTAGCCAAAAAGTAAGATTTTTAATCCGCATAAGCTTTAGTTTAGGCTCGCCTCTCCTACCTTCAAATTTTGAATTTCTGTTTATTAAATTAATTTTTATTTTTAAATATATTTTATTTAAAAAATTACATTTTCAAATTCTGCTCAATTAAACCACGAACCATATTAATATTGATAAACACCCCAGCAGCATAATCCTCAGCACAGCCGTGACCCCATGAAATAATACCACACAGCTCTCCATCTTTTACAGCCGGTCCACCCGAGTCACCACTACAAACATCTTCTTCCTCCGTTAAGGCACAAAACATAGATTTATCAAGTCCATAGGGATCATGAGCCAACCTATAGGTGCAATCAGCTTCCGATATAACTTTTAGAAGTACCGTATGTAAACTATCCAAGGCAAATTTATAATCTCGAGTGGTGGTATCCCAACCCGAAACTTGTACTACATCACCCGGTTTTAATGCCGAAGAACACAAGGGAATTGGATGGACCCCTTCATCTTCATAAAATTGCTCATTTAATTCTAACACCGCAGCATCCATATCATATGTTGTGGAGTCATATTCGGGATGTATGTTGACCTTTATCACTCGCCTTTGTATTCCTATTTCCTTGACAATATTGGCCCCAGCAACTACTTTTATCCCCTTGGTACTTTGTTCATCAAAGCAATGGGCAGCAGTTACTATATGTTTCGGGGTCACCAACGTCCCGCTGCAGAAATGTTGGTTTGTGTTATTCCTCAATTGTACTATATATGGGGCTTGATCAATCGGGATACTGTAGCCATTAACAATGCGTACTTTCCCTGGCCTCCACACTGCTTGAGTTGTAGTACAAATAATCAATACTAAAATTGTAGAAATCCAACCTCCAAAAATCGACATTTTTATTTTTGCCTCCCACACCAATGACTGCTCTATGATTGAAAGATCGGGCCTGTTTTCTCTAATAGAAATTCTAAAACACCTGTGGTCTTTTAAGCATTATGTTGTGTTTATGTATTTATTAGAAACAATTTCAATGCCAAGGTATCTCCATTAATTTTTTTAGTAAATATTTTTCTTATTGTTTTCAAGTTTCCAAAAATAATTAAAATATATTCGGGTGAAATAGGAATCTATTGATACCCTACAGCTGAATACTTACATATTTCTGCATATACAGAACCCATAACCTGCCCCGTTAAATAAATATTTCCATAATTAAATCATATTTAACAAGGCTAAACAGAAAAAATTCTATGAGAAATTGATATTCAGCCTGGCTGAATAGCAATAGCAATGAACTGGGTGAATAGTAATTTTCGTTAGGAAAATTAAATTTTGCCTAGCTGAATAGACATTTTCTGCATAAAAATAATATTCTGTCTTGCTGAATACAAAATTTCTCCAAAGAAAATGACATTCAGCCTTGCTGAATACAAATTTTCTCTAAACAAAATTACATTCAGCCTTGCTAAATAAAAATTTTCTGTACAAAAATGATATTCAGCTAAGCTGAATTGGAAATTTCTGTACGAAAATGATATTCTGCTAGACTGAATCGGAATTTTCTTTACGAAAATGATTTTCAGCTAGGCTGAATAGAAATTTTCTTTACGAAAATTATATTCAGCTAGGCGTAATAAGAATTTTTTGTACGAAAATAATATTGAGCTTGGCTGAATAGAAATTTCCTGAGCGAAAATGATATTCAGCTATTAACAAAAATTATATTTAACCTCCTGAATACATCTTTTCTGTATTCAAATTGTATTTTATACAATGGAATGAATAACCTATAGGAGCCGATGAACTTATACTGGTCTTAATAAATAGTTTCGAAGAGAAATCTGAATTCAGCTGAGCTAAATTTAATTTTTTGTATTATATAAACTTCAGTTTTACAAAGTAATAATAGGAATAATTTGAATTCCTATAGGAACCGAAGAACTTTTGCAGTTATTCTATAGTTAGAGCACCTTCCCCTAGTCTTCTACATAAAAATATAATTTCAAGAAGTCATTATTGAAGTCCCATACAAAGAGGAGTATTTTTCCAGGTGCATCGTAGACAGAAGAGATTTTACAAGTCTTTTGTAGATGTAAGTACTTACAGAGATATTCCATAACTAGAAGGCCAGGTTCTCTATAAAACAAAGGTCAACATTACCTTGATAAGAATCCTTAGTACCGCCAGCAGCATTGAACATATAATTAGAAATGGGAATCCATAATACCGGTGACATTGTTCGCGGTCAATAGTTAGAATACGATTAGCAATATAATTCTTGCTAACCGTCATCCTTGTGCGAGGTATAACCCCAACCGGCAATTTGTACCAAATCACTTTCCTCAAGTTCAGCAGAACACAGCGGTACATTCTTTATGATAGGATATTCCAGCTTGAGGATGGCTATATCAGTGTTCAGGATTTTCTTGTGGTCATGAAAAAAACTCTACGTTCAACACATTCACCGGTTTGGATGTTGGTACCACCGCAAAAAAAACTGTGTACCAATTCCCAACATTGGGACTAATGTGGATGACGTCTCCATCCACAATGCGGGTGTTATTCATGTTAGCTGTCATTGGAAATAAATTTCGCCATAAGGTCCAAAACAACCAAAGTCGGGGAGTACATTGTATTCCATACTGGGAGAATGATTTGGATGCTGATTTGTAAGTTCGTATTATTATGTGATTCGGATGGGTATTTCTGAAGTCAATACTTTGATCTAATATATAAAAGAAGATTTGCATGTTTGAGCAAAATTGTATAATAATTCATATTAAATATGGTTGAATTTGTATACAAGAAAATTTTCTATGTACCATGCCCAATTTATAGTACATTGAATATTATATTCAGCCTGGCTGAATAGAAATTCTAGAGAAAATTATATGCAAATACTAAATAGTATGGTAGGGTATTTTTTTTTCCAAGAATCGGTATAACACAATTTTTAAAATATGATTCTATTCAAATATAAACAAACATTTAAACATCTGGTTTCCATTAACAAAATTTGATCAAAACATAAAAAGGCATTCACATTTGCAGTCTTGCGAAAACCATCACAAAGATGAGCATTAAATTATTTCTAATATTCACCCTTTTGGTGTACTGTTCGGCTAGGAGAGCTACAAAAATCGGAACATCACGTATTATCAATGGCGATATTATAACAATTGATAAAGCACCATATTTGGTACAACTTCGTAATGAGGAAGGGAAGACATTTTGTAGTGGGACCCTAATCTCAATGGAACATGTTGTTACAGCTGCTCATTGTTTTGTGGATCGGGATTATCGTCATATAAATGTGGTAGCTGGAGCAAGTTCCCTCCTTGAACAAGGTGTTTCTCGTAGCATTGAAAATCTACACATTCATCCCGAATTTGATCCTTTAAATCCCTTCGGTAAAAATGTGGCCGTTTTAAAGCTAAATAAACCCCTGGCGAGAAGTCGTAACATACGCAACACCTATCTCTGCTCTGAAGCTTTACAGGCAGGCGATTTATTACAAATTGCTGGTTGGGATGAACTTGATGAGGAGGATTTAAATGACAATTCTAATGTTTTAAGTACAATACGTATGCCGGTATTGTCAACGGAAATTTGTAAGGATAAATTTGGCAGCAGTGAAGGAATATTGTGTGCCTCGGATGGTGATCAAGATGTCTCGGAGATTGATGGCGGTGGCCCTGGAATTTTTGCTGGGGAGCTGTGTGGCATTGTTTCGGTGAACTTGGAGGAAAATAAACCGGCAGTCTTTACCAATGTCATGAATGTTATTGATTTTGTAAATAAAAGTCTAAAATTGTAATTTGAAAACACGTTTTTTGAAATAAATATGAGCATCAATATTATATTTAAATATTTATTATAACCTCCATCGTTAGGTATATAATAAATATGTCATACCGTTTGCAACACCTCAAAATATTTGTTGGAGAGCCCATATAGTAAAAATACCATTTTACCAATCAAAGTCTCTGCAAATTGTTATTCCGCGGTAGAGTGAAGCACATATTTACTGAACATATTCAATATAGGTCCATATTCGTCATTGTACCCATATATAGATCCTGTTCCAACTCAGAGTACTGTTATATGGCATTCCGGAGTTTTTGGTAGGCATAAAACCTTTATCGCAGATATTTTACAGACAGACAGACATGGACAGACGTAAGTCTCCCCATGTTTTGACCTAGCCTTCATATCAAGGTCCCACGCCATGTTAGGTATTTTTGCACTGCCAGTTTCCAGCAGAAGTGGCATTACGCCGAAAAGGCATTATTTTTAATATATTTTTTGAATTAAAACAGAAATATATAAAAAATATGTGTGTTGAAGGTGTTTATAATTTTATTGGTACTCTGATTCCCCAATAGCATCTAAAATAAAATCATGAACTGCAAAGACACTGGTATAAGCTCCCGGGAATTTTGGATAGTTACAATTTTCACCGCCCAAAGTAATACCACAAATTTGACCATAGGAAATCGCCGGACCTCCAGAATTATGCAAACATCCATCATGATTCAGAATATTACCACAAAACATGCTGGCGGTTATTTCCATATTAACACTCCCAGCATCACGAATGCAATCCATATGTGTTACAATTGGAAAACGATTACTGCGCAATTCGTCTCTTACCCACGCACCAGTTACATTTGGACGCAACCAACCAGTAATAGAAATAAAATCGTTTGTTTCCGAAGGATGATCACACAACTCCTCATAGGGTTTAATACGACCTCCATCCATATTGCTCTCCAATTTGATTATAGCAACATCATTATGCCAATTTGTGGCATTATACAGAGGGTGTTTGTAGACATGCAATATTTTACGTATGATACCTTTATCCGATTTCATTGTGGCTCCACCCACAACTATGATATCTGAATCTCGATATTGATCAAAACAATGGGAAGCGGTTAGCACAAATTGTGATCGTATCAATGTACCATCGCAGATAACTTCTCCATCGGCATTTCTCAGCTGCATCATATATGGAGCATTGTAGTATGGAATATATACGGGATTATCATGTTTTATTGTTGGCCTTTTGATTTCTGATAATTTCAAAATTTCGTCACCATATCCACCTTGAACTTGAACAAAAATGGTAAATAGTAATGGAATGATGAGAACTTCGACTGTTTTTGAAGCCATGCTTTTAGTCGTTTCAAAATAAACTGCGAAACAATTCTTTTTTCGACATTAACTTATTTCATTTAAATAAATATATGCTACAAAGCAAAATAACACTTGTGTTTATTTTTCTAAATAATGTGAAACAAAATATAAGAAATATAATAATAAAATTTCCAAAATAATAGCAAATATCAAAAAGTGAAATAATTACAATCACTTTGAGAAATGCCATGAAAAAATGTCTTCTATACATTGAAAATGTTAATATTCTACCATACTTCTAATATATGGGAAATTACAAAATTCTTTTAAAATTCCATTAACAAAAATTTGAAATTTTTTTTTGCGAGCACATTCAAGATTTTTGGTGCATAGGTTAAGAAAAATATGCTGATTCGAAATCTGTTCGCGTTCAAAAATGCGCACAAAAGTTAAATGAATTCCTTTTTGTTGGAATTCACGAATTTCTTCATAAATGGATAAACACATTTGTTTTCATTGCATTCCTGTCAAATCAAATTGAAATACGGTATAATAGTCGCGAAAAACAAATAGAAGGATGAAGATATCGGAAAATAAATTACTTTTTAAATTAAAATAAAAAGGTTTTTTGAATTTTCGATTTTTTAGTATGGTTAAGAGGATACGGGTTTTTATTAATCTTCTAAAATATACCACGCTTTCTTCTGCAAATTCTTTTAGATGATTGTTAAATATCGGTAGATTCTATTGTTAAGAGTTTTGACTTTAAAAACGTCCAAATATATTGCAGTTACAGTATATGAAAATGATCAACATTAAATAGGATGCAATTCGAGTATTCGTTGAAATCATTTGATGTGCATGCGTTTTTCGGATAAACCGAATCAATCTCTTCTAATAATTATGAATTTTTCGAGGTTTCGTTTAGCGACCGAAGTGTGCCGTTCGATGCACTTTACTATGCAAAACCCCTAAAAATGGCTAAAATTCACGCAACGTGCATACGATTTTTATTCGCATCCGATTTCAGTAATCTCCTATGAAAATACACAAAAGGACACCTATTTTAAAAGGATCGGTTAAGAACCGCGGATGTGCCTCCACAATCGATTTTGGATAAAATACGCATATTATTCGCGTATCGATATATTTTTGACCTATTTTCTCACAGATTCGCGAATATGATAACACAAGCATGAATGTATTTAAAATCAATTCGAAGAAAAACGCGATTATATACGCGAATTTGTCAAAATATGTTTTTTAAGTTTTTCCCACATTCAAGGTAAGTATATCCGCCGTTTTATTGGTCGGAATTGAACATGGATGGGCTCATTAGATTCGGCACGTAATAAAACTAAAATTACGCGGGGAATTTCCACGGAATTTGAATGGACTTTCTTAATTTTAGACACAAAAAATATGTTTTTTATAAAAATTTACGCACCAAATTTTCGTCTTTGGAACCCAATTGCAAAGAAGCTACGGTGAGCACATTCATGAGATATACACTAAACGAAGCAAAATCACGAGTTCTACAATCCTATAATTAGTTTAGTCCATTATCTGGATGGGCATCCTAATTATAAGAAAAATCCAAAAAAACCGAAAATCCGGTTCAAAATGTCAGCTTCCATTTTGGGTGGATCCATTGATTGTATCAAAAAATCATACATTAGAATCATATTGTCCATGGGGTATTCTGCAACTTAGTCACTGATCACATGTGCGTGCGTTGTGTAGTTTATCCACAAATCAGGAAGGAACACAAAAAAAAACTCGTTGGCTTCAACACATTTTCACCCATTTTTTTTACATTACCACCATCACAGCTTCCACGCAGCTTATTATTTATTACCAATATTTTAAGATTTTGACAAGAACATTTCATTTTATAGAAATGAATTTAAATTATATGCAATATGTTCATATTTCGCGAGTTATAACCTTGCAAACCACAGCTTCAAGGAATTTTAAAGAATAAAACGAGTCTATATCAAACTTGTCATAACATTTGCAGCACCTCGAGATATTCATTGGAGAATAAATTCTATTTCGAATAAGACATAGAGCTCAATAATGTATATGGATATTTGCCCATAGGTTGCTCGCTCCTACACCTAGGATATTTTAATGAGATATACCGGATGATCTTTTAATATATCATCCATATTACGGTACCATCACATTTTCCGTATTTTTAAGATTTTAGCCGCATTTGCCCATCCAAGTGAATGTAATTTTATATTCCTTGTTTAAAGGGCTGATATGAGTCGTTTATTTTGAAGGTGGTTTAAGTACATTTAAGGTTCTAATACAAATCTTGGGTTTCTATCATGTTTAAGGGCACAATATTTTTGAAACATATCAAACCTTATATCAATACAAGAAAAATGGACTTAAAGCATTTTCAAAATAAGCGACTCATATACCTCTATTTACATTTACATTCTCCAACCAAAGTGGCTGTAATTAGGCATAGCGGATTCTGGGAAATTAAACAAATTTTTTTAAAAAAAAAATCGTTATTTTTTGAAAAATATTCAAGAACAGGACCCGCCCTGAATTTCAAAATACGCCCCAAGTGGCTGTTCTAGAAGGGCGAAAGAAAAATTAAGAAAATGCATTGCCCTATTTTTCACCAAAGTTGCTGTCATATGACAATCGGAGTTCGAGGAGGTTGAACACGATTTTTACAAATAATTGTGATATACATTGGTCCCATCTCTGCATCTATAATGTCTCAGTGAAATTTTCCACCCTAATTATCCGTTTTATATATTTTCCTCGAAGAACAAAAAACTCCTGGCGGACAACTTACAATGTTTTCACCTAGCAATCCGGGTCTCTCTCTGTAAGTTTGGATGGGCTGAAATTGTTATACCATCCACCCTGATGGAGACATTAATAATATCAAAAATTAATGGGGTAAAAAAATAGAATTTTACATTTTTTGGACGTACAAAATAACACACAATGAGAAAATAAAAAATGATAGCCAATTCGCATTATGGACCAGGCAAAAAGTCTATTTCAGGTAGAAGTGATTTTGTGCGCGTTTTTCGACCAAATTGACTTAGTATTTTGAATTTTTACGTTTTCCTTGCACAATCGTAATCAACCTAATCATTATTTATTTCGTAACCCCAATATTAATATTTTTTGTAGGAAATTTTTCAATCCAATGAGAATCCGATATAATAAAATAAGTCAATGGTTTCAAAAACGTGACCAAAATTCCTAAAAGACCACATATTTTTTTGGGATATACCAAAACGAGGATCAATATATCCTATTTTCAATACCAATCATCTTAGAAGTAGTACAATTACAAAGATTTATCATTAGTATTGTGATCTCTATCGTTATTCCAACATACGAACATGGCTAAATCGACATTGGGGTCTCCGACGAATATTTCGAAGTTTTGCTAATGGGAAATGTATAAAAAAACCCTCGATTCGGACCTTGATGAAAATATGGATTGTGGGTAGTTATGAAGGCTAGGAAGGCCTTCTGCTCATATAAAGCCTTTAATATACAGTCGAAATATCGTAAAACGACATTCAAGGGACCGGTGAAATTGATCGCTATTAGCGATATAAAGCCTTTAATATACTGTCGAAAGCCTTTTAACGACAGTCAAGGGTGTCATTATAAAGGATCACGACTGTTATTAGACCATTATATTCTATATACGGAATACCCTTTAGGAGATTTCCTATTATGGTTGAATATATTTTTGGAGTATTTTTATATGCCTCTAGTCCAATCTACTCGAATGACTAAAAATGCTAAAAATCATATGTTTTTGTTATGTATATGCCTTCGTCAATCAACCAGTTAGTCAGACTAAATATGCCGGTTCTTAAAATTCCCACGCCAATATGAAATGTCTGCGTTTCTTCAATCTAAACAACTGCAGCATGGACATGGGCGGCGTAGGGGAATAGGAACACAGAGTATTAATATTGAGACCAATGTCTGGGCTGAGCCAGACGACATTGTTGCTATAACTCTGTACGTGTTAACGATGATCAGCAACAACAAATGGCGAGCAAAGGATAGCGCGGATGTATGGATGGTTGGATCAACAACAGAACAGATCTTCGTCTTCTTCTTGCAAATATTTAATATTCTGCGTAAATGATAAATAAAAATTTCACACTAACACGCGAAGTTGTTGTGTGCAGATCATTTCGTAGTTTATTCTTGCTATTGTCGGTTTGGTGTGCGTGCCTGTGTGTTTGTTTCTTTGGACAATGCTTGACGACGATATGTTTTTTGTTTTATTTCATTTTTTTTTTTTCGAATTGCTCCGAAAAGAATTTGTTCAATATTTGTTCGAAGCTGTGTGCTCTGCTCTTCTGGCTGTTTTATGATCGGCTGTCGGGCATTCAAAGGCTGGAACAAGCCAAAAAAACAAGCAGGCAAGCACTGATGCTCTGATGCTGCGCTTAACTTCGAGCTTATTGCCATTCATTGACTTTATGGGCCAGAGAGCATACACAACAGAACGCACAGCAAACATGTTGAGAAATTATGTTTATTTTATGTATAAATAAAAATATAAATTCCACCGCAAGAACAACAACACTTGGTAGGCAGTTTCAGATAAAATTGATATCAAAATCAAATATAGTTTAATTATGAAAATAATTTGGTCCAAAACATTAATAAGGAGTATGAGGCTACTTTTTTTATATCGGTGGCTTTTTACACATTCTCGGGATTGTCCATCTATGTCCCTGCTATATCTAGGTCACATACAAAAGGAACTTATTTTTTGAACTACTCAGTTAAAAAATTTTTTTACTACTATGTATGCTTGAAGTATTATATACAAAAACTTCAATTTAAAATCTAAAACAAATATTTTTATTTTTTTCAATTACATATATCTAACAGCAAAAATAATAAAATCACGAAAATGCCAAACACTCGTATAGACCCCTGGATATTGTGACCTCGCACAACCTCTACCCCAGGACACAATACCACATAATTCACGCCGGAAAACAGCCGGTCCACCCGAATCACCTTGACAGGCATCTTTTACACCCAATTCTGCAGCACAAAACATACTCTCCGTAATGCGATTGCTTCCATACAACTGCAGATAATTTCTCTTGCACACCTCTCTATCCACCACTGGTACATTAATCGTGCGAACATAAGTACTAGGTTTCGATTTTTCATAATATCTTCCCCAACCCGAAACTTGAACACGATCACCAGTTCTCATTTTTCGCGAGCACAATGCAACTGGTCGTATCATTTCACCCATCATGGGCGATTCTAGTTTATAGACGCCAATATCGTACGCTGAAGCTGTTACATTTCTATATTCAGGATGTATTAAATAGGATATTATACGACGTTTAACACCTTCTTCATAGATACTTGTAGCCTCTGCAACTGCCACCATTTGATCTGCGATTTCTTCTCGAACACAGTGAGCTGCGGAGACCACATGGGAATAGGTTATCAAGGCACCGCCACAGAACAGGCGATCGCCGTCCAGAATCCTCAGTTGCACCAAATATGGTAAATTGGAGATATGGGTTTGCGCGCCGTTTACAACACGTCCTTGCGATTTTACTCGGGAAATGCACGCAACAACCAACACAAAAGTGATTGAGAATTGTTTCAGACAATCCATGATGCTGTTTGATATCGTAGTTTTACATTTGAAATAATAGTTAAGCAAGTACTGACATGACTTATATTTATATTATTTTTTGGTAAATATTTTCTGTAAGTTACATTATTTTAATTCATCTGTATAAATAATTACTACACGTTTCTCGGTTTGAAATTTCTGATGAAATCACTTGCTACGAATTTAGAATATTTCATATTTTAATGAATTACAAAATGACTGATCAATATATCTGAGTGCTCAGGCGTATGACAGATCGTGTTTTTATTTACTCAACCGACATTTTGTAATTGACATTTATAATATGGCATACATTTTTGACACGTGTCATCTGTTAAATAATAAACTGATCGGCGTTCTTGGAGATGGGGTAACCCCTTTTCCGAATTTTGAAGGTTTTACTCTAATTTTCCAATCCGATTTGCTAGTAGAAGATTCGATGTTAATAAACAATGACCAATGAAAGTGAAGAGACGAAAGGGAAGATATGCATTCCTTTTTATACCCTCAGCCTTATGGCTAATGAGAGTATATACACTTTGATACGATGAAAATGTACCTCAGCAATTTGGAGTAGAATTACAAATGTCTATCCGTCCGTCTGTCAAGTCGGCTGGTGCGCCCGATAACTCTCAAAGTGAGCAACCGATTTCATTCAATCTTTGCACATCGTAATATTTCTTTCAAACTTAGTTTAAGTTCGAAGATAGGGAATATCGGTCCGCTTCCACTGGTAGCTCCCCCATTGTGCAAAAATGTGTTTATAATGTCATGCAAACCAAACACAACCTGTTATCTTTACTAGGCCTGGATCAAGTCCAAAGATGGGACCCATTAGTCCATTCCTTCTGGTACCTCCCAAAATGCAGAATATCTAAATGAAACAAAAATTATTTTGAAAGAATTACTATTATATAATACATATGCAGCATATAAAAAAAAAACAACTTTCCATAAAAGATTCGAAATAAAATTGTATGAAGCCTTTAAGGAGTCACTGCGTTTTGTCTTAAGTTCAAAAAACTCTTTACTCTACAAAAGACAATAAGTTAATGGAACAATATGGCAATAGTTACGTGCATCCTCAAGAAAATAATCCCCAAGTATAACTGTTGCTATTTTACTTTGTATGGCTTCAAACCAAACATATGTGATGGGGGGCGATCCCCGCACCTCATATGAACCCCACAAAGCGATGCAGCATCCATGCTCAACATTGTCATTGTAGTTAGACAACATATGTGTATAAGAGTTTGAAAGGGGAATAGGGAAACACAATTCCAAATAGAGAAGATGAAGGCGAAAAATATGAGTATACAGAAAAAAATACTAGGCGAAACTACAAAGAAAATAAGAAGTCAGCAATGTTCCTTATTTAATCGTTTTTTTTTTCGTAGGAATTGAGGATGAAACAAAATCCGCGACACACGTCGAGAACATTAAGTTGAGCAAATGGCAGACATGCTTACGGAGAATAACTATCCATCCGCAAAAACAGCAACATTAAAAGCAGTCAATTAAAGTTTTCATTGTATGTTGTTTTCTGTGCATAGATTTTGAACTACTTTGTAAGAAATAAAGTTTTTAAATTGTCAACGTAGGAAACTTTTTGGATTGTGGGCGTATTTTGTACCCCACACAACTATGATGTAAGGGTATTATACCTCTGTGTGGCCCCAAAAGTTTGTAATGCCGCGAAATATTGGTATCAGACCTACAATTTAGCATACCGATCGTCATATCTCGACTAGCTGATACGATCTATACATGGATGTCTGTCCATTATAATTCGAAAACTCGATGCAGGCCACAGTTATAGACCGTCACGATCGTCACGAAATTTTGAATATAGGACGATTAATATTTAGGGGATGTAATGGAGCAAAAACTTCATTTTTGTATGTTTTTCTGGTCGCTCTAAAAACCACAATTTTGACCCGAACATCGCGAAATTTTACACAGATGAAGGTGTCTTACCATGGAATAAGCATGACTATTTTAATGAAGATCGGTCAATATTAAGCTGTTCAAATGGTAATTTGTATTCTATTACTTTATTTGTTACTCCAAGAATAGTGGCTGACCTTTAAATTGATACCAATAATATTGTTGTATGTGCTCGGATGTGGTAGTTTTACTAAATACTTACATGTATCTACCTATTTTGATATTGTTTAGCATTACCACACTAGAGGGCGGAAGCGCGGATGGGCGGGAAATGTTGCATGAGGATCCGATTGTGGTCAATAGAGAAGGCGATCAGACCAACTAATTCTGCAATAATAATGAACGTCAATATTAAGCGGGTAAAGTGAAGCAGCATTTTTATACCCTCCACCATAGTATGGAGGGTATATTAATTTTGTTTTTCCTTACATCGAAATAATCATCTCTGATCCTATAAAGTATATATGGGAAATTACAAAATTCTTTTAAAATTCCATTAAAAAAAATTTGAGAAATATTTTTGCGAGCACATTTATGATTTTTGGTACATAGGTTCAGAAAAATATGCTGATTCGAAATCTGTTCGCTTTCACAAATTCGAATGCTGCGCACAAAAGTTATAGCGGTTTTAAATCTTGTATTTCAAATATATATTAAATGGATGCCTTTTTGTTGTAATTCGCGAATTTCTTCACAAATGGATAAACACATTTGTTTTCTTTGCATACTTGTCAAATCACATTGAAATACGGTACAATATTCGCGAAAAAAAAAACAAAAAAAAGCATAAGGATATCTGAAAATAAAATAAATTAATTTTTTAATTAGAACAGAACTTTTTTTTGAATTTTCAATTTTTTAGTGTGGTTAAGGGAATACGGTTTTGCCTTAATCTTCTAAAATACATATTGTTAAATATCGGTAGATTCATCTGACAAGAGTTTCGGCGTTAAAAATGATTAAATATATTGCACTTACAATACATAAAAATGATCAATATTGAAAAGCATGCAATTCGCGTATTCGTGGAAATCAGTTGTTGCGCATGCGGTTTTCGTGTAAATCGAATCAATCTCCTCCAATAATTATGCATTTTTCGATATTTAATTTAGCGGCAAAAGTGTGCCGCTCGATGCACTTTACTATGCAAAAACTCTAAAAATGGCTAAAAATGACGCAACGTGCATACAATTTTTATGCGCATCCGATTTCAGTAATTTCCTCTGAAAATACACAAAAGGACACCTATTTTAAAAGGATTGGTGAAGAACCGCGAATGTGCCTCCACAATCGATTTTGGATAAAATACGCATATTATTCGCGTATCGATATATTTTTGACCTATTTTCACACAGATTCGCGAATATGATAACACAAGCATGAATGTATTTAAAATCAATTCGAAGAAAAACGCGATTATATGGGCGAATTTGTCAAAATATGTTTTTGCAGTTTTTCCCACATTCAAGGTACCTATATCCGCCGTTTTATTGGGCAGAATTGAACATGGCTGAGCTCATTAGATCCGGCACGTAAAAAAACTAAAATCACGCGGGGAATTTCCACGGAATTTGAATGGACTTTCTTAATTTTAGACTCAAAAAATATGTTTTTTATAAAAATTTACGCACCAAATTTTCGTCTTTGGAACCCAATTGCAAAGAAGCTACGGTGAGCACATATATGAGATATACACTAAACGAAGCAAAATCACGAGTTCTATAATCCTATAATCAGTTTAGTCCATTATCTGGATGCGCATCCTAATTATAAGAAAAAATCAAAAAACACCGAAAATCCGGCTTCAAAATGTCAGCATCCATTTTGGGTGGATCCATTGATTATATCGAAAAATCATACATTAGAACCATATTGTCCATGGGGTATTCTGCAACTTAGTCACTGATCACAAGTGCGTGCGTCGTGTAGTTTAGCCACAAATCATGAAGGAACACAAAAAAACTCGTTGGCTTCAACACATTTTCACCCATTTTTTTACATTACCACCATCACAGCTTCCACGCAGCTTATTATTTATTACCAATATTTTAAGATTTTGACAAGAACACTTCATTTTATAGAACTGAATTTAAATTATATGCTATATGTTCATATTTCGCGAGTTATAACCTTGCAAACCTCAGCTTCAAGGAATTTAAAAGAATTTTGTAATTTCCCATATAAGCATGCCCGTTTGTATTTAGTAATCACTGTTGCCTCTAAACGAATTGAGACAGATCGCCAAAATTTCGCATAGAGTCGTCTATTTTCTGCAGGCAGGTCAGGTTCCAAGATGATAATTTAGTACTTTAAGTTCTTATTACTTAGCACATCTCTCCACTAAAAATTATAAATATAGGTCAATTTTTTCCGGTAACCCCAATTTTCGGTATTTTGGGGTCTTTGAGCGCTTTGTTCAACCGAATTATCTGTAATTTGGGTTTCTTGTAATCGTATATGATAACAAATCTCCCTCCCAAAAATTATTTATAACCCATTTTTATATTAAAACAGTTGTCTGATTTCTTCCTCGTTTTGAGTTTGGTTCTAAGACTCTGTTGTAATCATTCTTCCATGCGGAGGATATTGAGATAAAAAACTAGAACGTAAAGTTCGAGAATGAACTATATCTGCCCGCATTTAGGCCCAGCCTCCATATAAAACCTACCCATTTCCGGTATTTTTAATAAATAGCGTATGAAAGGTATTGTGAAATTTTAGTTTCGAAATTGAGCTATATCAGTCCTCAATTAGGCACAGCACCTCATATAATGATAACTACAAATGTTCAGTAATTCCTACACGATGCAATCGGTATTGGTCCCGTTTTAGGTATAGCCTCCAGGACGTACTAATACAATTTTTTTCTGCAATGACAATTTTCATATTGAACTGACAGCACCCAACCCATTGCCTGAGAGGAATACATTCAGAAGAAGATCCTAAACAAAGTTGCAGCTCTTTTAGACATCTCCAATGAATTAGCTATCCAATTTTTTTTTTTTTTTTTGAAAATCGCGTAAAGAAGAAGAAATTTAGTCTTCTTTATTTCA